TCTTATTCCAGCACATTCTTTTTACAACACTTAAGATGACTAAATACGACATGAAATGGGGAAGATTTAAAAAAAGATGCCTTTGACTTCAGCATGAAACAGATACAAGTGTATGATGAAAATACAACCGCAATAAAAGTGTCACTTACCGTAAATGAGTATAACTGTTCATCAAATAGGCTCAAATATCTATCTGCATCTCTATAAAATAAGAATGTGCATTACTTCAAAAACGGTTAATATCTTAGTATAATATCTGTTTAGTAAAATACTGCCTCCTGTGTGCTTTGGTGTTTACTTCACCAAAGCAGTTTTTATGAATTCTCCTGGATCCTGACTTGCAGAGCGTTTCCTGATTTCTTCTTTCTTGGCACTTCATATCCTGTACTGTGAAGTCTTTTATACGATAACCAGTCAGAAATGCCTGTAAGTATTGACTCTCCCTAACAGGCAATGGCAATCAACCAAATATATTTTCACTCGTCTAACCATATCACACACTGAAACACAAGAATGTTTTACAAAGCAGTAGTGATGAACTTTAATAAATGTAAACGTGATTCAGATTTCCTAGCTTCCTTTCTCTTTAGTTCTCTGTAGTATACTCTCATGATGTATTTATGTATTTTCTGCTGTTTGAATTAAAAACTCATCTGCCTTTTTAAGAGGCCAGTCTTTGATGAACTTTAAACTTTGTAAAACTAATGCATTGTGCCTACGTGATAAACCAGTGGTTTTCCAAATGTGCTCTGTGGACCTCTCAGGATCCCCAAGACCCTTTCCAGAAGGGCTAAGAGGTCAACCCCGTTTTTTTTTTGTTTGTTTGTTTTGTTTTTTTTTGAGACCGAGTTTCACTCTTGTTGCCCAGGCCGGAGTGCAATGGCGCAATCTCAGCTCATGGCAACCTCCGCTTCCAGGGTTCAAGTGATTCTCCCACTTCAGCCTCCTGAGTAGCTGCGATTACAGGCGCCCGCCACCACGCCCGGCTAATTTTTGTATTTTCAGTAGAGATGTGGTTTCACTATGTTGGCCAGGCTGGTCTTGAACTCCTGACCTCAGGTGATCCACTCGCCTCGGCCTCCCAAAGTGCTAAGATTACAGGCCTGAGCCACATTGTGCCTGGCCGACACTGTTCTGAATCATACTAACTAAACCTGAGAAAGCTGAATAAAAATTAAAGAATTTGTAAAACTAATACAAAGTTATTGCCTGCTTTTTCGTTGACACTTGCCATGACTGTATAAAAGCAAAAGTGGGTAAACTGCTGGTTTCTCAGCATAAATCAAGGCAGTGGTACCAATTACATTAGTCATTCTATTATTTACTGTCCCCTACAGTTAAAAAAGACAGCCTGAATTACTTAAGAATGTTCTTGATGAGGCAGTAAAAATTAATGTTGTTATTAAATCTTGGCATGTCTCTTTAATATTCTGAATAAGTGGAAAGTTAACAAGAAGCGCTTCTGCTGACTGCAGTACAGTTGTTTTCTGTTTTATTTTTTTTAAATAATTAATGATTTAATTGTGAACTGAACGATCACTTTTTCACAGAACATCGTTTTTATTTAAAAGTACAACTGGGTCAGCGCAGTGGCTCATGCCTGTAAAATCCCAGCACTTTGGGAGGCCAAAGCAGGCAGAAGGCTTGAGCTCCTTCAGGAGTTCGAGACCAGCCTAGGCAACATAACAAAACCCTGTCTCTACCAAAAGTACAAAAACAACCTGGCGTGGTGCCATACATCTGTGGTCCCAGATACACAGGAGCCTGAAGTGAGAGCATTGCTTGAGCTGAGATCATGCCAAAGCACTCCAGCCAAGTGACAGAATGAGACTCGGTCTAAAAAAAAAGTACAACTATCATTCTCAAAAATAAATGAAGTGAGACGTT